TCTCTTGGGCCCTGTCTTTTTTTTTTCTTTTTCTTTTTTTATCGCGCACATAGCGCACCTTCCTCAGCGCGCGCACGGCGCACAGCGGACCGCACTGTGCACGGCGCACAGTGCGCGCACTGTCATTCGAGCGCACAGCGCAGTGCGCACCGCCCCGCACCACACTGCGCACTCGTGCGCCACAACTATGGTTTTCACCTTTGCAGAGGCAGATGCAGATTCCAGGGTTCGATCCCCAGACCTTACTTTGCCCGTGTACAGTATCGAGTCGACACCTGAGTGTTTGAACCCGTGACCTGTGTTTTAGTAGTTGTTGTCGTCTGTCGTAGGTCTGTGTAGTAGCAGGGGTTCGATCTGTAGGTCTGTCAGTTAGGAGTCACAGCTTTGTTGAGGTCGTAGCTGTAGGTGTTCTGAAAGGTCAAGGTTGTAGCTGCTAGTCCTGAAAGGTCAAGGTCGTGGCTGCTACAGTATCCGAAAGGCCAAGTCCACAGACTTCCGGAACGTCCGGAAGTGGCCTTTCGAAGTGTCTCACATTTAGTCAGAGGCAAGTGGGCAAGTGGTGAGCCTTTAGTCAGAAGCAAGTGGGCAAGTGGTGAGCCAACTGCGTTACGCCGGCAGTGCCACTGCATCGAGTTGGCAGACCAAACCCATGCAGTCAACAGTACCGGCCCAGTCAGTCCCAGTCCAGTCCAGCAAGTACCAAGAGGGACTGTGTGCACCATGGGCCGAGGGAAAGGGGCAGACCAACGAGTTACAGAAGTATAAATCAAGAGGCAGCGTTCAGCCATTCATTCATTCGCTGCGTAAGCCATGCGAAAGCGCTGCTACAGCGTCTTGTGCGAAGGTGGTCTGCAGGTCGCCCAAAGACGAAGTGGGCTGAAGAGAGATCGTAGCCATAGCTAGTGGCAGTAGTGCGGCTATAGCCGCTGTAGGAGGAAGATAGACAGAGTGGATGTGCGTGGTGGTATTCAGGGTGATCCAGAGTGAGCGAATGTGAACAGTGGGGGTTGGACACTGTGACAAAGGTTGGGGTGTTCAGGCGCTGATGCACTATAGTTTGTTGAAGAGAACTTGCATCTGAACTGTGTTCTGGATTTCCATATCTCTAAGCTTTGAGTGGGCGCCCTGCGCCAGTGTGAGTCTCCATCTGTTTGCATGTGTGCGAAGAGGAAAGAAAGCGAGTCTGATTGCACCTCTGAAGAAGTATAAATAAAGAGGCAGTGTCCATCCATTGATTCATTCGCCTGTGTGCCATGCGGAAGAGCTGCCTTGGTATCTTGTGCGTGGAGGTCTGCAGGTGCCCGGAGAGGAAGTGGGCTGTGAAGAAGACAGCGGCCATAGCGAACCAGCGAAAGAGACGCCGGCGGCCATAGCTAGGAGGAGGAAGACGACGGCGGCCATAGCCGCCCAGCTGTTGGTGTAGACCGGGTGTACAGTGTGTGTGTGTGTGTGTGTGTGTGTGTGTGTGTGTGTGTGTGTGTGTGTGTGTGTGTACAGTGTGGACATTCAGGGTGATCTTCATATGTGCGTTCATGCGAGAGTGTGGGAGAGTGAGGCTGTTGGTAGAGACAGTGTTTGGCGGCCATAGCTGCAAGTTGTACAGTTGATTCAGACTGAGTTTAATACAAGTTCATTGTTGTTTCTGAGTTGGAAGAGTTCGTTTTTGCCATCGGTTCTCAAGTGTGCATGTTGTGAGCAAGTCCAGAGTCGAGTCTGATTGCACATGGCATCTCTCTTTTTCTTTTTCTTTTTTTTTCTTTTTTTTACACCTCTTCTTCCCTTTTTTGAAACTTTTTTCAAATTTAGAGTCAATTTGCTCGGTCCTTGGGGACATCCGTTAAAATTGGAACGATACTGACAATGAAGATTAGCATGGCCCTACACAAGGATGACACGCATAAATCGAGAAATGGTCCAAATGCAAGGAAAATGAGCAATAGCGAAATACAGAAACCAAGCCGCATCATACAAATGAAACCAGATAGTCGTTATCTCGAACCAAAAGCAGAAGTGCAACACGAAATACGTCAAATACACCAAATAAGAGCACAGCAGAGCTCACAAATGACAATGCTGAAATAATCTCGTCATCATCATCCATGAACCAACGTCGTTCCCCTATGTGGCGCTAGGCACCCAGACTACAACTGGCAGATCCTATCTAGCCTATCTACAATGCCGCCGGTGACGTCAACAGCTTTCCGAAGTATGAGCCGACCATGGCCAATGCTGTCTGCATAAAGCACCAGGTATGTCCTCGCCACACTCACAACCTCGATCCCCCACACAGATGCCACATGCACCCGAAGACCACCATGCGTGTCATCCAGCAATGTGCAGGCAAGCCCGGCTATGGCTGCCTGCATTCAACCCTGCTCGCCAGTGAGCGCGTAGGCACTCGGATCAGCAGCTAGCGCAGCAGCCCTGACGCATGAAGCAGCGAGTGTCCGAATGAGCTGGCTGCCAGTGGCCAGGTGCTTTCCTTTATGGAAAGTGGCTGCCATTCGCGGGCTGCCTGGCTGGTCTAGGCCTATGCCCAGAAGCTTCCGGTAGGCCCCAAGTGGCTGAGCCTCTGTCCCAGAGGAATATTCGGCAAGGCCTCTGGAAGTGACGCATGTCCAATGGCCAGAGGTGCTCTGTACCGTGTGTGCCTCGTGTCTGGCCCAGGGTCTGCCTCCGATTCTTTCAGGAAGGGCCTGGAAGCCCGAAACAGATGTTGTTAGGAAGGGCCTGGGCTCACTCAACCAACTGACCCTGTGTAACTGTCTGATTTTCCCCAGTTGCGGAAAGCACAAAAATAGGCCTCGCGTAACTTATCAGGCCCGCCTTCACTGAGGGCGGCCTTGCTTGCTGGAATAGGCCCAAAAGGGCTTACCAAGGCTGTATAGATTTATAAGACCACTTTTCTTAAAAGATGGAGAACATGTTTGCCACAAAACCTGGCCAATGGTTGGGTGTCGGCATGCCGCTGGCCAGCCAGCTATCTTGCACAGTTATATTGGGGCCATTTTAAGAACCCAATTGCTTCCAAATTCTTATCACGGAACTCGCCCCCAAAGCGTTGGTACCTGAAAAATGTATGATCAGATGAATGAAAGGGCTTAGAGTGCGGCACATTAGGGTTACAAGCTGCCAAGTACCCCACCTTAAATCGCATATCATCGCATTGTTCTGGAAGGGGGGGCTTTCGCCTAGCCAGCTCAGGTAGGGTCTCAAACATGTACCTGTTCGTTGTCTCAAAGGGGTCGTAATGAAGTTTGGGATGTGAAGGAAGGACGGCCTCGTACTGCTCTTTCTTGTGGGGCCCCTTTTTTAGGTAATTCTGTCCCGTTCGGTCCCGATCTCTCGGAAGCCAAACCTGTTGATCGAAGTTGTCAAAGGTGATCAGTGACTTCTTGTTGTAGTCAACATAATTGTTGTTGAAACATTCTTTTACACCTTCCTCGTCTTTTGCGTGCCCCTGTCCTCCTCCTTGCCCTCCTCCTCTTCGTCCTCCTCCTCCTCGTCCTCGTCCTCCTCCTCGTCCTGCTCCTCGTCCTCCTCGCCCTCCTCCTCGTCCTCGAGCTGTTATCGCTGCCGCCCTTCGCTTCACTACAGCAGCCACAATCTTGTTATATGACTGCGCTGTTGTTTCAAATTCTGTGCCAGGTGCCGGGGGGTTATACGGCAATGTTCGGCGCGTCTTAGGCAGTTTGATGCGAGTGATGTGAGCCATGGTGCGCGGAACAAAGGTCTCATTGTACCCGCTCTCCAACCGATAAAGCATCGGATAGCCATCCGCGATCCTGCGGCAGCGGCACACTGTTCCTTCGGCATGTTTCTTCTTCCAACGGCTGCCAACCTTGAACACCTCTTGTTGACGTTCTTCAAACCAGTTCCCCTCAAGTGTCTTGCTTGAGTAGGTTCTCACCGCCTCTGCCAGGTTTAAGATGCAAGGGGGGAAGCTCAAAAACATCGTGAAGAAACGTAGATTCTCCACAAAAGATCTCTGTATAGTACTGGCCTACAATTATGAGTGAGCATATACAATAATACCAAGGGAGAAATACCCCAAAACTGCCAAGTCCTCTGTGCCACTGTTGTTCATCAACCTCCGTGCCTGTTTTGTGCAAAAGAAGAGGTACTACATCCTCTCTCTCTTTCTCTCTCCCTCTCTCTCTCTCTCTCTCTCTCTCTCTCTCTCTCTCTCTCTCTCTCTCTCTCTCTCTCTCTCTCT